TTTGCGAGGAAAATCTCACCTGACAAGTCGCAGAGTGTCTTTACGGATGTTGATGAGACTGCGGAGGGTCTTGACCGGCTCATGAGGTGGGGGAGCATTGTACGGGAACTACAAATCACAAGGGTCAGGAGTCAGAGTACACTCTAAAAAATGCTGGGTTAAATACAACCCAGGGCTGGGTAAAATAGGGACAAACCCAGCAATTGGGTTGTTTTGACCCAGTGGTTGGGTTACTACCCAGAAGGTTGGGTTAAACATGTAACCGCTGGGTCAAAACAGCCCAATTGCTGGGTTTGTCCCTATTTTACCCAGCACTGGGTTGTATTTAACCCAGCATTTTTTAGAGTGTAAAGTTATCGATTAGTACTTTGTCCTGTTTTATCAGCTCACATATCTGATCACATATGAGCTCTTAAAAACCTGAAAAATAATCTGGAAACAAAGCCACATTACAATGAAGGTGATGTACACTGATCTCTGAACAAGCTGTTGTGCTGATTCATGCATGTGTGTGTGTTTGCCCTGGAAAAGTGCAATGCACAGGCATGCCCACGTGCCAGAGAGGCATCAAGAGTGTGTTCGCTTGTGGGTCAACACTGGGTGAGTCTGTCGCCACCCATCCCCCCTCCCTGGAGTTCAGACTGAATGTGGATCTCTGTTTTACTTGCGGTAAGCCATCGCTTAAATCCACAGCATCACTAGCCTGTCTGCTGAGAGATGGGCCTAGCAGCCAATGCATACAGTGTAAATAAAAGACCCACCACATACAGAAATACACGTATGATTTCATAAAAGCACACAAACACAGCACACATACATATCAGGATAAAGATCAGGAAAAAGCAAAGCAGCATATAAGAACAGCTATACAATTACATGTGACATTTGGTCATGTATAATCCTGTGAATTATAGAAGCTTCCACCAACATACAGTAATTCACATTAAACTAACCTAAATATCCAGTTAAAGTAACAGTTCTAAGCATGATATGACTATGATATGAATTATTATTATTAAACATGAAGATATGTTTAAATAATTATTTAAAAAAATGTCTTTAAAGATGTTAATAATGTAAAATACAAATTATATATAATAATATAAAAATATTTTTAAATCACTATTTTTAAAATATCTGTGCTCAATATGTAATGAAATAAAATGAGTCATGAGGCATATTGTTGTGGATCATTTCTGGAAATGAGATCACACAAGGTAAAAAAAAATCAATGAACAGAGCAAAATCAGTGGTTTCATGACCTCCTATAAAAATCTGTCAAAATGGCTGCATCTACTCTATGCTACCAGGAAATGAAAAACAATCTTACCACTACTGGTCTGTTGCCTAGGAAGTTGAGGTCAGTATTTTCACCAAAGAGGAAGCCTTCAGGATGAGTTGAATCAAACTTCTCTCCTCCCATTATAAAATGGCTAGCAAAATAACTCCCTGCATGACAATGAACAAATCAAATGTTACAGATATTGAACTATTCAAAATGTATTTGTCACACACACCTATACGTGCACATCTAGTCACATGTAGAGTGTTCCACAGAGTTCATGATTTGAATTTTGCACATCAGCTTGATTGTAAATGTGCTGAACCCAAAAAAAGGTTTTATTCAAAATATGCTTGATGGTTACATCATGTGGTAAAAACAAATGAACTGGTTTTAAGTATAAAAAATTGTATTTCATTATTTCAACTGAATTACACCAAGTAATTTTAATGTCAGATCAGGTAGAAATAGCACACATTTTAAATGGTGTAAAAAGAAAGAATATATAGATGCAAAAACCTCCATTCCTCCAAAGTGATGTTTGGGCTCAAGATAAATGAAAGGTTTCGAAATGAAAATGAAGACAGATCTAGCAGACTGGAAAACCAATAGATTAAAGAAAGACAAGCTCAAGGGCAGACAGAGGATAGCAACTGCCATGGGAAGACAAGGGTAGATAGATGAACAAGCTTGAAAGTGGAGCACGAGGTAGCAAGAATCAGGCACAAGTCCCAAGCTGCACATATCTGGTTACTTGTGGTTAACACACTGACATTCATCTTCTCATCTACACGTCTTCTCAAATTTCCAAAGATTTGTAAAACAATCATTATAAAACTAACTACTTTTTAAAAATACAGGAAAATACTCTTATCTAAAAATGTACATAGTAAATTAAGTTAGCAGCATCCATGTAAACCACATGGTCACAATAAATTCCTATTACATACAATGGACACTCTTATTTTAGATCAGTTTAATGCTGAGTACAAAATCATCCAAGACATTTACTCTAATTAAAGTGTGTTTCGGTAGACTGTAGACACGGCACCACTGGAATAATGGGCCCCATATCAATATAAAGACCGCATCTATGGGCCTACTGTGCCTCTCAGAGATAGACTTGCTGACCAGGAAACAGTGGGTGGTGGCTCAGGCCCTCTGGAGTTCAAATGTACAGAAGGACCTTCTCAATTTCAATTACAAGAAGAAGCAAGAAAAATACTTAACTAATGTAGGCTACAAGCCAATTTTATTGTAAATTTGTACACATTTTTTCCCAATAATTATAAAAGAGTATACAATCTGGACAAGCTTGGATTTATCTATTATTTCTTTAGATAGATTTTTGTTAATATAATATCAAAGTAACAAGAACAATATTTTATTATAATAATATAATATAATATAATTCTTACCGGATTTGGGTGGGTATCTGTAAACAGAATTGGATGGTATATCAACCTCCTCCACTCCTGCATTCTGACGGCTTGTCAAAGCTCCCATTTCCAATAGCTAAAAAATTAAATAACACTGAATGATTGCAGTCCTACTGCTGCTGCGTCTTCTTTAGTCCGAACATCTCCTTCTTCACGCAAAAGTCCGTTTTTTGCTCTGCGTTTTTATATTTTTGGCCATGCACAGGATTAGTTGATGCTCTTAATGCCCTGTAAGCTCCGCACAGAGTCCCTCGTTTTGTCTGCAGACACGAGCTGCTTTTTGCGTCCCGCAGACTGTAGCCCTATTATAATGCTGCCTCTGCCTCAGTGGTCGGCATCCTTGGCTAAATTGCAAAGCGGAGTGAGGTGCTCTCTATGTAACACAGTTTCTCGGTATGTTTATCATCATCATCCCTGTACCCTCTGTTCTCCGAGCGCTAGAGCGATGGGATGCAGATGCGTCTCAGTGATGTAGAAACAGAATAAGAGGATAGAATGGCAGTGGGCGATGGGGCGGGGCTTAGGGGCCCGGATGTTGCGTCTAATTAATATATCATTATATGCATTAAAACATAACGTCAATGCTCTTCCACTGTATATAATGAAGCACATTTTACTAAATATAACTTTTATGTATATTAAACATTCCTATTAATATTAATCATTTATCATCACATACACCCACTTTTTTCAGTAATTTTCTGTCAACTGTTAACAGGTTTACTATGGTAAAGACGACTGCTGCGGTGGCAAATGCACGTTACCTGTTACTTTTCTTTGCGCTGATGAGGATAACCCAATCACAGACGGTTGCGGGTTTTTAAAAATCGTTTTATAGAGATTGCTTTGACGGATTTGCATTTATATATCATGCAGCAATCCTTTTAATTAATACATATAAAAAATTACATGTAAGGTCTCCAGAAAGAAAAAAAACGTAGGCCTACTGAGATTTGAATGTAGCTCGATGGAGCATTAAGCTCTCTGAGCCGCCAGGCGCCCCCTGCTGGACGTAAACATTATGTCTCAGTAGAAAACCATTTCAGCTGGTAAGATTTGCTGCTCAATGATCAGTGCTGTATTACTGTCCTCAGAAGCGCTGTTGGCCACCCCTGACGTCAGGCTTAAATCCAGACTTGAGGTTTTTGCGCAGTAGCCTACAAACACATCCTGCCTCGCCAAACGTGACCTTTGGATGTGATTCACTGCAGTGCAGTAAGGGAACCTCAACTGGTGTTCATTCAGTGGCCCTAGTGTCACTTAGCTCTGTTTTAATTTAAATTGATAATAATTTTTTATTTTATTTTATTTATTTATTTATTTTTATTTTTTTATATTATTCGCATTTGTCACTGTATAAAAAACATTTCACAGACAAGTTACAGTAGCAGTTCAGTAGCAGCCTGCGTGTGTGTTGCTTCAAGAGAGCAACTGTGCTGTTTTATTTCATTTTGTTTTATTATCATTATCAATTAATCATTTATATGATTTATTTGATCATTTATATCAGTTATCAATTCATCAATTGTGCCATTATATTTTATGTGCACTTGAAATGCTTGCTATTGTTTGTTTAACCTTATGACTGTGGGGTTTCATGGAATATTTTTCTGTGTTCACAAAGAGACAAATGGAAATATCACAATTTGAAGGTTCTATAGGACGTCATTTGGAAGCAGTTTGAAATAACAACACATGCTGGCCAGACAAAGTCTGAACATTGAAACATATGCAACTAAGATTATTAAATAAGCTCTATTCATTTGTTATTATCATCAACATCTTTCAATCTTATAGATGCCACAGACCCGCAAATATGATCATCTTCACATGATAAAATTTAAAAGGCATAGTATCTTCTATGAAGACTCTCAGTTTTTACTGTGAAAAATTAATATTATAAATATGTCTAAAATATTATTTATTTTACATCATTGTAGTAGGCTACTGTATGGTTTATTATTTATTTATGGTTTATATATATATATACTATACTATACAATACATATATATAGTTAGTTAGTTTCATTGGGCTGCTTACTTAAATTTGGATTCAGTTTTGGAAATTCGGATTAAACGAGCATGGCGACGTCAAATAAATGATCTAGTTTGTTACATTTTGTTCAAACTCCTGCTAAATTAGCAAGTCTCTGTTCCCAGTCAAGATGAGATTGTGAGATCAGGTAACCTGTAGTGTCACTTAGATACCAGAAGTGGCAGTATTTTCCATACAGTCTATGGTATTTTCTCTCCTTGCAAAGAAAATAAAAGCCAACCTCCACCGACCACGAACATCCGGTTACCGCCATTTTAGAGTGTTAACTGCTCTTGGCGTGTTTCTTTGGACGCTCCCGAATGGTTCGATATTTTTCCTGAAAATTTCGCAAGTAGCTCTTTTATTTTTCGCATAACATACTGCAGTAGGGTTAGTGATTCAAGATGAGTTACGGCAGACCTCCGCCCGACGTCGAGGGCATGACATCTTTAAAAGTCGACAATCTGACCTACCGCACGTCCCCTGAAACGCTGCGGCGGGTTTTCGAGAAATACGGCCGAGTCGGGGACGTCTATATCCCGAGAGACCGGTACACAAAAGAGAGCCGCGGGTTCGCCTTTGTCCGTTTTCATGATAAGCGGGACGCGGAGGATGCAATGGACGCCATGGACGGCGCGCTGCTGGACGGCCGCGAACTGCGCGTGCAGATGGCGCGATACGGGCGCCCGCCAGATTCGCATTACAGCCGCCGCGGAGGCCCGCCGAGGAGATACGGAGGACATGGACGGAGAAGCCGAAGGTAAGGCCCACATACGCAATCTCTTTCAGTATTTTCGTTTTAAACCACTGTAAGTTACCGTTCGACGTTCACATCTGAGGCCCGTAAATTTGAGGCCCTCAGGCCTCAAGATAGCAAAACCACACGTGCTAAAATCCTTGTTTTGCTTATAAACGCGATGTTTTATCGCCGTAAACGGCTTAATTCATTGAGTTTGTTTCAAACCGTTTCCCGTTTTTAAAGTATTAGTATCATTCCGTCGTATCTGTGGCGTTGTACCAAACAATTACTCAACTTTGTGAACGAACCAAAGTAGCCATTCGTGATCGAATGGTTCTTTTGAGTCGTTTCTTTTGAATCGATTGTAACGTTTGAGTTTGAAAACCAAACCCATTCCGAGCTGTTTTATTACAGCATTCTCTCTTTAATATAATAGTAATTTTTTAATAACAAAAATATTTGAAGGCCACGTGATAACGTAACATACTTAAATTAGTATAAGTTTTTTTGTTTTTGTTTTTTTTACCTAATTATTCGAAAGAATCGATTCTTGGAAATGAATCAAACTCCGTCTTTGTGCTACGAGTTCGTGGTTTGAATGCGATAACGTGTGGTAATTATACCTGAATTACTGGTTTTGGTGAAGACAATAAACCTTGGATGTACATGCAAACAGACGCGTTCTTTTGTACGTTCACATTTAAACGTGTATAAGCTACTTACCTTTTAATTGTAAAGATTGTTTTGTGTTTTGTAATACTGTAACACCAAGTGCTGCTTGCTTTGTGCAAACAATCCTCATTAGGGCTGCACGATTGACAAAAATCATAATTGTCGATTATTCCCTTGAAATTGTAATTGCGATTATTAATTACAATTATCACCATTTACATTGAATTGTTTATACCATTGTTTGATGCAACTGCGTGCCATATTTTTATATGAAAATAAACAAGCTGAAAACACTCTAACTGAAAAACTTGGTGCTTTTCTATAGTATTAAGCCTCAAATGTCAAATATACATTGATTGTTTTCTTTAAATTATTAAAAAAAAAATATATGAATGGTATTATAATGTTATACTAAAATAAAAATAATGGGGAAAACCCTTAAGATAACACGTAGAAAGAAAAAAGCACATCTTAAGCACGCAGAATAACATAAGTGGACTTTGAATGATTAATTGCTGCTTTGAACGGTTACGTAATTGTGGCATCCATAATTGTAATCACGATTAGAAATTTTATTAATTGTGCAGCCCTAATCCTCATACTAATTTGTTCATGTAATATTTGTTTTTAGCCGTAGTCCTCGGCGCAGGAGGCACAGCAGGTCTAGATCCAGGAGCAGAAGCCGGTCCCGTTCCCGTAGCAGATCCCGCTACAGCCGATCCAGGTCCTACTCCCGCTCCCGATCTAAGTCCCGTTCCCGCTCCAAAACCCGCACACCACGCAGAAGCAAGTCCAAATCGGCTTCCAGGTCCCGTTCAAGGTCTAAGTCCAAGTCTCGCTCCAGGAGCCATACTCCCAGATCAAACAAAGGATCCAAATCACGATCCAGATCGAGAAGCAGACCGAAATCTCCAGAGGATACTGGAGCCACTGCTGAATCCTGAGCTGAAACATAGGTGAGCCTAATGCTTTGTTTGAAAATATATTCCTAATTTTCTTGCAACTGGTGGAATTTGTATCGTCACCCAAGAATTGTAATGACAAGTGCATTTTTTATTTTTTTTATTTTTATAAATATCCCTTTTGATTGAATTACAATTTTGATTAAAGCAAAATTAATGCCCAAAGTGGTGTAAAGTGAATACATACGTGGCTCACTGCTCACTTAAAATGGCTGCTTAAAATTTTATATTTAATGTTTCGCCCCTCTACTTTTCTCTTTCACCAAGTCCTTCAAGACCTCTGCAGATGTAGTAGATCGGTAGATGCATTATCTTAAAGGTGGTTTCAGGTATTACCCACGTTTAGTTTGGAGCTGTTATTCACAGCATTTGTCTGGTTTCTCCGTTTCTGCATGACTTTTAAGGGTTTATTTTTAATTCACATCCTAAACCTGACAATGGATGTTTGATTTGGAGCTGTTGTGGGTATGATACCGTAAGTATGTTTGTTTTGAAACGTGTACCAGCCAAAATCCATTGATTTCATCTAAATGTGGAATTTTTTCCTCCAAGCTGCTGATTCCTGTTTGCAAAAGAGGAGTTTGGGGCAGTTTGAGAGCAGTTAGTGTGTGATCCGACCATTGGCTGCCTGCTGCTGATTAATTTTGTTTTTATCAGGTAAAACCTTCAGCTATTAGATTATGATATTAACTATCATTGAACTCAAACCTTTTGAGTAGCCATCCTAAGCTGCACGCATCTTTTCATTGATCCAGTCAATGAACTTGGTGACACGGGCATAGATACCGGGCCTGTTCTTCTTGCCACAGCTGTCACCCCAACTCACCACACCATAGATGTAATGAGTCTCGGCCTTCTGACAAACCAGGGGTCCACCAGAGTCACCCTATAAACAGTGAAAATAATTAATAAAAAAATTGCGTACTGCGCCATCAGTTTGCACAATCATTTTAAATAAGATTTTGTGTGTGATGTATATTAATAGAAATTTCACTGAAAGACAAAAACTAATTTGAGACTGGAACACACCTGACAAGAGTCAGTCTTTCCCTGCATATATCCAGCACACATCATGGAATCATCCAATCTGTTACCGTAGACATTACGAGACATACAACGCTTCTGAGAGATTAAGAGAACTTTGGCATCCAGCAGCTGAGGAGAGACAGCATACTCTGGAAGAAAGAGTAATAGATGACCGATCTTCTCAGAGGCAGGTGTTGCTATGGTGAATGTCTACAGTGAAAATTGAATCTGGAAACCACACCTTTCTCAGTGGTTCCATAGCCTGATATGGTGCACATTGTTTCATCAGGGAATGAATCGGTGGGAAGACATGCTGCCCTAACGGACCTGGTCTCATTGGCGCACCGTCCATTTATTGCCTTCAGTTTCAGCAGGGCTGGCATAGATGAAAAACAAAAGCACTGTGAGTTTGACATACCTGCTTTTAAAAAAGATGTTAATAGCCTACTACTGTAGGCTGTTCACAATGCGCTTCACCCTGGGATGTCTTTTTTTTTTTTAAACCTCCGGTAAAACTATATGCTTCATGTGCATTATTTTTTAAGTCATTTAATGTCACAAAAATTGAAGTCAGCATGAAAGGAAAATTCTTAAGGTTGTTTACACAAAGAATGATAAATATAACGATCACTATAACTTTATTTTTTAATAATTCACACACCACAACAAGGATAACGACACAGAGGAACAATATACAGTTTTTCTCAGTCGCTTTGGTGCATTTCTTAGATCAGAAATTAAATTGTTAGAACTGCTTGTTCAACCTCCACATGATCTATAGTCACTTGTGCACATCATAAAAGCTATATCAATCATAAAAGTTTCTCATTCTTTTGAACAAGTTGCGATTGCTTTGGTACATTCATGCAAATGATTATGTATATTTGTCTGTGGTTTCCTACATTATCAGTTGCTAATGTCATGTTGCTCAAAATGTATTATATAGTTCTCTTTGCAATAGTCTTACCCCTCAAAACATCTAGTCATGTTCATCGTATAAGCAATTAAATGCAAAATGGTTGATCTAGTTGTCATAAACCGTCAAGCATATTTTCTACACATTTCTATTAGACTTCTTGTAAATTTGCCACGAATTGTGGAAGTGAATCTTGACTTTCACTAATGAAGAGAATGGAGATCCACCCATTATAAACCAGTTCTCTGAAATAGCTCAAAGGTGCATCTCATGAATTCACTAATGAAGATAATGTAGACCAATCAACGATAAATCAGTCCTCTGAAAGTTGCATCTCATGAACCTTCAATTGGAAAGCATATAAAGACAGAGGACATCACAAGAGTTACAAATTCTGACAATGGATGAACATCCAGGAAATGATCAGGATCAACAGCTGAGAGGAGGAATAGGAGTACGGATCCATGGTGGAAGGGTACAGAGGCAAAACAGAGGAAAAGGCAGAGGAGGCCAAGGACGTAGGCGCATATCAGATGAAATAAGGGCCACTATTGTGAACTATGTTGTCAATCGGTCGCCGTGATTTTGCCAAGTAAGACATGTTCCTGGATCAACATCACTGTCCAAAATACAGACTTAACCCAATCCCTACCCCTAAACCTAACCTTACCCATAATTTATTCCTAAAATCAGAGGGAAATGACAGCTGATTAACAAGGGTGTAGAAGCACCTAACCCTGATTGTAAGCCTAAAACAGATATTTCCTGAAAAGTTATCCCTCAATTCTGATTGGTTGATTGAAATGTTGGTCCAGGATCAACAAGGATGTTGATCCAGGAACATGTTGTACTTGGTGAAATCACGCTCACCGTTGTCAATCATGGCTTACAATGGCTGAGGTGGGTTTCCGGTGTTTCCCTTTCTAATTTTGTATTTTCGCCTTTGTACCCATATTTACTATTCTTTTCTATATCACAATGACAGTGTACTGTGAATCCTATCCAGTCTCTTTCAATCAATACCCCACATACAGTAGTGTGTAAATTTGTACTTTAGAACTGGATATGGCATGCAGAAGAAGTGCAGCCTTCTGCATTTCAATACAGTAACTGCCATCCAAACTGTTGCCATAGTTTACATCAGGTAATACTAACAGAGTGCAGTGTTATATTGACAACAAGACTAAGCATTTTGCCTATATTGTTTGTGAACAATGACACAAGGACTTTTCATTCTGATGGCACGGATATGTTCATTGACATAAATATTTTTGAGAGGTGAACTAAAGATTTTGAGTAAGTTACAGGCTTTTGCATGAAATCCATTGTGTGGTGCTGATTGTACAAATTGTTTTGAGAAATGCACATACTTCTTTGCGAATATTAAGGATGATTCAAGAAATGCACCAAAGCAACTGAGAAAAACTGTAATTCTAATCACTTAAAGTTTTTTTTTTTTAGCTGATGAACGATAAAAAACATTGACAGCCAGAATCCATCCACAGCATATGACATAACTGCAGCACACACTTATAATAAACTGAAAATTATTGTGTGTTGGTGTGAACGCTAGTTATAGTTATCACTCTTAATCCTGAATGTTTTATTTATTTATTTTTTTACTTTTTAATCAAAATGTTATAACTTGCTATTGTGTTCATCCAATCAAAGGTATTGACACAACAAATAATAAAATTAAAATGTGATTTACAAATGTACAGTCTATAAACTCAAAACTTGAATACACAAGATTATTTCCTAACTGAAGTTGGTTAGTTTTCTTTTACCCTAACAGCTAGAATGATAGATGGAATGATAGAATGCTAGGATGGATGGATGATAGAATGATTGACATGGCAAATTAGAATGATAGAATGGTAGACAGAGAGAACAGGCAAAAATAAAAACGACATAGACAGACAGACAGACAGACAGACAGACAGATAGATAGATAGATAGATAGATAGATAGATAGATAGATAGATAGATAGACAGATATGTTCACTTAAATAGTGAATCACTGACCTATATCATTATACAGGGCTTCAGGAGTCTCTGTATAGTTCTCATGAACAATGATTTTCTCTACCTCAAGAAACTGTTTTGCAGGATCATCTTTCTCCAGGTTCACACCACCCATCTCCACGCTTACCTCCTCGTTCTCATCACTGCCATGATCATGCAAACCATGCAAACACAGTTTATCAAACTGATATTTGTTGCATATGAATTTTCAAAGGCAAAACTACTGTAAAAAGCAAGTACAACATCACCAATAATATTCAATAGAATTTAATAGAATTTGTAACTTAAAGACAACATAAAATAAAAGTAAAAAGAAAGAGTTTTCTGATTGAACATTACATAGACCTAATGCAACACCACCACCCCCAAACTTACATGCAGTGGGCAGCAGTTAGGACCCAGCAGGAGTCAATAAGTGTTCCTCCACAGTTGTGGCTGAAGGATCCATTAGAGCCCTTGGAACGGACCTGAAATGAGACCTGCCATGGATGGGCTGCAGGCAGAGACTTCCTCCCACCAAATATCCTTGGGGCAATCATACTAGCCTGAGTCTTTCCACAGTCAGAAAACTGCAGTTTTGCAGGGGCTGTGGAGGGTTTTACTGGTTCTGTGAGAGTTTGGTAAATAAGTATATGGTGCAGTTAACACAGACTGCTAGAGCAGACTGAAGAACATATGTTTCTGTTTTTGCATTTATATAAAAGAGAAAAAGTAGAAGGAAAATCTGTGCCTGGTTCAGAGCATGGCTTGACATTACAGTAGTCCCACCGGAGATTCCCCTTGTCATTCACAAAGCACCAGGGCTCGCGGTCTCCATCCGGATTTCTTAATTGACAAAGATAATTCTTAAGGCAACATGTTATACCACAATTCATTGTGAGATTTACTAAAACCAAATTCTAACCTGCAGTAATTGTGGGCTCCAATGCTCTCATTCCCTTCAAACTCCTTGAAGGGAATACGATAGTAGTTCCATGGTAAACATTCCATTTCTTCCACTGTCTGACTGACAAAACCTATGTATGATTCCCCATTCCCCTCATAACAATCATTTGGACCTGAATACAAAATGACATAATGTGTTTACGACATTATTACATCTAGTTTATAAGGTTATTTAAAGCTACACTATGTAATTTTTGGCCCTCTAGTGGTTTATTCATACACCTACATAAGTTATTTGCGGGAGAACGTTGTTTGCTTGAGTTGTGCTTCGGCTGAACCTGATAGCTTGAGTCGCACCGCTGTTGCTATGGTTACAGATGATCGCCTTGTTAGTGCGATTGTCACTAAAAACATCAAAACTTTCCAAACAACGAAAGACTAATATATGAAAAATATGTCTTATGAGCAGGTACGTTGTGACTTGTTGAAATCAGTTGTTTTAAAAGAATGTTTGGCAACGCTGAAGTTTGCCGTTTCCCGGGAAATCCGTCCCGACAACTCTAAAATATACAAAATTATTATAGGCTTACCATAGTGATGTAGGGTAAGACAAAAACACGGTTTGGAAGATCGTTTTGTGATGTACTGGCTCATTATTTAAATGTAGTTTCGGTAATTTGGGAAAAAAAAGTTAGTATAGCTTTAAAATACCAATCAGTTTGGCATAAAATAAATGAGAAAAAAAAAATGTTTATTACCAACTTGGCAGAACCTCCCACTGTAATTTTCAGCACATTTGCATGTGAAACTGGCTCTGGTACGGCCTTTAACACACTTTCCTCCATTCAGGCATGGACTCGGGTCACAAGCAGAGGCTAATATTGCAAACATAAGTATAAAAGTAATTAAAAAGACAATTCACTACAATCTGACATAAAACTGTTTTAATGAACTCATTCATAATAATCACTAAACTCGCATCTTTACTACTGAAAGAAACACTTTGAAAGTAATTTGCTTTATTTCAGATATGGGAGACAGGGACGCTCACCTTTCTTGCACGTAGGTGCTCTATATGGGGGGCGGCATTTGCATTCATAAAATGGGGCTTCTTGAGTTCTGACACAATCACCATGACCACACTTCACTTTCTTACACACGTTCCTCTCTAGAAGATCCCAACATGAAAACTCAAGAATGATACACACTCTTACTGATTAATAATTATTTTTAGGTATGGCTTATTAAGATCTCACCGTCCTGGCACTTTTTGCCAATGTAAGGCTCTTTACAGATGCATTTGAAGCCGCCACTCTCTAGGACCTCGCATACTCCATTGTTCTGGCATGGATTTGGATCACACACTTCTACAGAAGTATTGAACATGATCAGCGTACATATGTTTGTGAGCGTCAAACTGAACCCCTTTAATACATTTGCACTGTCTGCTTAAGTACTTAAGTTCTTGCCTGGTTCATCAAAGAAGGAAAAAATCCAATCAATGCTTTCATTAATTTCAGCTGAGGATATTTCCTCTGTGGTGTCACTAACAGCGTAGTCATATATTTCTGTCAAGGGGCGAGAGAGTAATAATAATGCCGTGTGTATGCTAATAACCTTGCAAACACATTAACAGACACCAACCAAAATGTTAAGATTTCTCACCATCAAATAAAGTTAAAATGTCATCCAAAAGACCCTGAAACATTTGACACAATTTTATTCAAATCGCAGTGTAATATCACTCAATTAAACATATATGTTTAAGCTATTTCGAAGCAGTTTCACACGTTTACATACCGGTGCAGCTTGGACTGGCAAAGTGAGGCCAGAAAGGCCCACCAGAAGCAGAATCACTGGTAACATGATTTCAGAAGTAAAAGATGCATAATCAAACACCGTAAAAGTCCCTTGTCTATATTGTGGGCAGTAAATATGTTGACCTGAATGTGGATGACCCCTGGACCCTTTTCTCTGCTTACTATTTAGCAATCATTACCTAACAACATTGATTTTCTGTGTTCTGGCCAGTGAGCCACACTACAGATATGCATTAAAACAGTATTATGGTTCAATTTAATTTTAAAGCAATCTTGGCAGTCAAAAAAAGAAAGAAAAAGAAAAAACATCTCACGATATTGTGTGCAGTATTTGTGCATTGATCCACAGTGTTATTGACAAATCAGATTTTAGGTCAGTTACCCAGCAGAGTTTACTCTTGATAAGGTTGACTTAAAATGTCTTTGCTACGGTTTTAGAAAACAGCTGACTGCAGTGAAAAAAGAATTTCATCTTTCATATTTAATTTATTTGTTTCGTTCAATGGAAATGATTGTTAATACAACAAAAATAGATTTTGTACTTTTGTAAGGGTGTAATTGAATTGTGTTAATTTAAAGCATAATTCTTAACCAAAACAATAATCTGAACATTTTGTTAAAATCAGTATCGCCAAATATTTCCAAACTGGTACTGCCATACTCTGGAACTATAAGATATTGAACGTGAACGTGACATGACGCCAAGCATGGTGTTCAATACTTGGAATTTGTGTTCTGATTTTAACCCATCCAAGTGCACACACACACAGCAGTGAGTGGTGAACACACAGACACACACACACACACACACGCACACACACCGTGAACACATTTTTGTTGCTGCGTCCAGGGAGCAGTTGGGGGTTCGGTGCCTCGTTCAAAGGTGTCACTTCAGTCTTGGCATTGAAACTGATAGAGAGCGCTGTACATTCACTCCCCCCTACCTACAATCCCTGCCGATACTGAGACCTTTGAGTTACAAGTCTGACTCTCTAACCATTAGGCCACGACTGATATAATTGATAGGCCATGACAAGACATAACAAACAACTGTTTTTCAACTGATTTCTTTTTTTATTTAAAAGAGGACCTCCAACCCCTGCCGATACTGAGACCTTTGAGTTACAAGTCTGACTCTCTAACCATTAGGCCACGACTGATATAATTGATAGGCCATGACAAGACATAACAAACAACTGTTTTTCAACTGATTTCTTTTTTTATTTAAAAGAGGAGAAATGGATCAGTTCACACTGGAGTACAGAAGTTCATTCTCAGTATATACAGCATGAGAGATAAATAATTCAGAGTTCTGTTGGTGCAATGAGCTCAAGGGTGCCTTGAACACCCTCACAACTGCTCAAAACATCAATATTAACTTGTAAATGCATTCAAGTGCAAGTGGCAAACTTAATGCTGTCAAAAAGTAAAAAGGTAAAAAACACTGTACCTTACAAAAAGTGTCTCTTGCATTTCATTCATATTTTCAGCAATATGATATGGTCACCAGTGGTAATATTGTTATCATCTGGGAGCCACAATGGGGAATAAATCCAAACACTTCATATGAATAGTTTTGTTCACATTCACTGTAACCCAGCAAAATCTTTTTTTTTCTCTCTTTAGAGGTGCACTATGATTGTCAGATGAAGGAAGGCATCATCTCAAAACACTCCACACACTCACTGGCACACAAACAAACACTCATTCACCCTCTTGCACTCTTATTTACGGGCATCACTATCATGCCAGTCCTGGAATATCAATTCCATCAGTCTACTTCCAGTGTGAATCGCACATACCCAATACAATTCCTCCACTCCACTCCTACACATCAAAAGAGATCTATGCTCACTACAGAGCAATTAAGTGCTAACACGATAAATGGAGTATCCAAGAACAACAGAACATGTCAGATCATTGAATCCAACACCAAACTGCCTCTCAGTCCAAACTATTTATTTTTTCACTCCCATTATTTCAAATTTCACTTGCACCATCCTCTATGACCACTAGGAGTCAGGAGTTACTTTCATTGACAGTACTAGTCAATATGGAGGGTATAATTTTTTTTTTTCATCAGTAGCAATGACCAGTTCACCACATCAGTGCATCTCCTCTATAGTTAAGGCACAATAACGTCCTTTTGTAGTGTTCTCCCCGTAATGAGTTGGCCTGTAGTGGTCTGGGGCATAGTTGGGGATTGTTCTTGTAGAAATGTACAGCTCACGTGTACTCAGATTTGCGAATGTAGTTGGATGGGACGTAACCCCTCCGTCCTTCTGCCTCCCCCAGCCACCACTCCTGGTTGCCATTCATGTCCTGGAACTCAAGGATTCGGACCTGCTGATTGGCTGAAATGCTGAGCTCATTTGCACACCGTGCACTGAAGGAATAAAGAGCGTAATATATCTGAAAGAAAATATAAAGTAGGAAAATTAATATTAATAATCATTTACAAGAAGCAAAACCTGTTTAATTATTTACCATCATTATTTTATGATGATGATTCTTATTATTATTACTATTAATTTATATACCAAATTGTTGATGAACATGGTGGTGTATCAATATCAGGGAGCTACAGAAGGTTTTAAAGTCAACATGAAATCAAAACTGAACCTAATAATATGAAGAACCACAGATGTCAAACAATGTGGTTTAATTATTGTTACACATAAATTATATTTGTGCTAAATTCTATGTATTTTTATAATTAAATTAAATAAATTCATTTTATTTCCTAATTACTATACAGTTAAAATTATTAATTTGTAGTACAAATGTAGTAATACAAATTTTGTACACAATATTTTTAAAGACCAAATGGTGTAACAACTAACTAATAATAACTAATAAGGAGATTTTGACAAGACAAAACTGAACCTATTAATATGAAGAAGTTATTATCAAAGATGTTAAATGATAGTTTAATTATTTTATTATATTATACATTTATTACAAATTATATTTCTTTTTGTAATTGCATTTTTCTATTTAAAATGACTAATTTAAAATCATTTCATTTATTTAATTTGCATACAAAATTGTTAATTAACATTGTCATATTCTCATTTGTTTCACTCTGAAACATGTTACATATTGGAATTAAAATGGGTTGTGAATGTCATTTCATGTTTAAAGTATGCAATCACTGAATTCTGGACTGATATCGTTCTGTTTGCAATATGACATACCTGCTGTCCATCTATCTCACGTTCAGGCTCTGGATCTATATACTCCTCAGGAGGGTACTGTGGCGTTCTCTGCTGTACCGAATAGTCTCCATTTTGTCTCTGCTGTGAGCCGTAAGCACCACGTGAGTCGTAGTACCTCGAAGATGGTTCATACCTGGAGTCCCTACTGGAGGGACAAGAATCTGTCTCAGAGAAGTCTGAAGGGTCTCTGTGATTGGTAGGAGTGTTTTTATCAGGGTCTAAAGAGTCTCTGTGATTGGTGGAATTTCGGTAGGAGGGCTCTGACTGTTCCCTGTTATTTCGACAGGCTGTCTCGGACAGTTCTTTGTGATCGGGAGAGCTTCTGAAGGTGGGGTCGAGGGAATCCCTCTGACTGGAGGAAGAGTAGTTGGTTGAAGAAGCCTCTCTGTTTTTTCTCGGAGTGGTCTCTTGATTCGGGCGAGTGTGTGATTGGTGTGGAGGCATCGCCGTTGTGAAGCTGACAGTCGATGTCTCCTGGTTGAAAGTCAGAGTGCTGCTACTATTTTGCCGTGAGAACATAGGAGAGGATCCACCGTAGCCTGACTCATTTGATGAATGGCTCTCAATGGAAACATCCGACTGACTCCTGCGTGGATTGTAGAGCTTTAAGAAGGAGCTATACACAAAGCCCTTTGTAACTGAAGGAAAGAAAAAAAAAAGTGTGTTCAAGCCAAATGTATTTTAGGAAGTGCTGACACATGTATCACACACAGATAATGCGATACAAACCTCCATTGTCTATTAGCCAGCGGTTCTGGCTGCCCATGGGGTCTTGCTGCTTGATGACACCCACTATGTCTCCCTCCAGTACGGACACGTCCAAGTCCTGTGCTGCGTTGAAATTTCTTTCAGCCTGGTAGAGTTTCTCTGGCCCATATCTTGCCAGAAGCCCCGCTCGGTGCTCATCCGTCTGTAGCACATAGTTTGGCTGCAAAATCAGACAGAAATGAGGAACAGAAAGAGAGGAGCATGAATAATAGACAGAAATGTGTCTTTCTTAAACCACGGTTTACGGTGTGCTGAAAAACATCAGTTTAAAGCAGCCTACAGTGGCTTGATGGTCTGGAACTTTCAGACTGACTAGTTGCAAAGAGTCCAAAACAGCTTAAAAACGGGCCTGATCAGCTAACCACCTTGGTTTAAGCTGTTTTTAATCTTGGACGTTTAAGATTAAAGGAGATGTAAAACTAACTACCGTTATTGCAAAGAAACACTGTTAGTATTATTTATATACTATTAGTGCTTTGTACTTAATAAAATTATATTTTTATATTTTCAGTTTTCATTTTAACTTGTTTACGTTTTAATAATTTTATGTGCTTTTGTCTTTTTTTTGTGTTTTTAATATTTCTATTCAACTATTTTTTATTTTAATACATTTTTTATTTCAGTTTCAGTATTTTCAGTACTTTAACCTAAACTTATTTTATTTCAATTAGTTGCCAAGGCAATATTTAAAATTTTCGTTACAAATTTTTAAGCTTATATTTTTCATCTAATATTTATATTTTATTTTTAGCTTTATTTAAATTAATTGTCATTCTTATTCATTTTAGCTTCATTTTTTTATAATATATATTTTTTTATTTCAGTTTTAGTAATTTTAGTACTTTACCTTAAACTTATTTTATTTCAGTTAGTTGTCAAGGCAGTATATTTCAAATCTTCATTTAAGTTTTTTATCTAACACTTTAATTTTATGTTAGCTTTACTTCAATTAATGAAAACGATTTTTAACAGTTTTAGACAACAACATTAAGAAAACCTGTCTGTTTTGAATCAGGCTGAATTAGGAAAACTCACAGGGCCTTGTTGTTTCTTCGAGTTCTGTTTCTCCAGAGTCTTCCTGTCAAAAGACTTGCGTACAGTTGTTGTGGGAAGATTATCAGGAAAGAAACTAAAGCTCTGAAGTAAATCCAACACACGAGTGTGCTCTTCCTGGAACAAG